TCCCCATCAGCAAAAGCCCAGAATTCATGAACGCAGCGAAGTCGGTCAGCCTCATGGGATAGCCCAGGCAGGGTGATAGTGCACGGAAGCGAGCCAAAAGCAATGGTCATGTCTGCAGTACCAAGGCTAGGAGCATCCAGACAATGGTTTTCAAGATACTCCAAGGCAAAGTGAAAGTGCCGATCCTCAAAGAGCACTTGGTCCTCGACAAGGAGGAGTTGAGTTGGTGTCTGGTCAAGAGGGTGAAGCACGTTCGAATGCTGGCCGTCAGGGCTTGGCCACGGTTGCGTCGAGGGACACACCAAAGGGGCCTTCGAAGCAAGCTGGATAGTCGCAACCGGGAAGCCTTGGAGGAAGACTGTCCACTGTGGATACTGGTCAAATACTTGCCAGAGTCGTGCTCGAGGAGAGAGAGTCTCACCTGTCGCAGCAAGATAAATGTGCCCAGTAATGCTGAAATCCCATGTGAAGCAACCCAAAAGGTCATTGACAGACCAATCGCGAGAGGCAGGGAACTCTGTAGCTCGTCCACCCTGGTGAATGCAGTGGATAGTGAGGCATTCTTGGTGCGATGTTACCTCACTGCGGACACAAATGTCATCAATGATGGTGGAAGTGCTGGCAAAGATGTAGAAGTTGCCTTCCTCGATGATGACCGTCCTGGGCCCAGTAAGCCTGGTGGTCCACACCTCATTGACAATCTGAACTACATCAGTAGGCCACTGGAAGAGGTACTTGAAGCCTTGAAGGAGAACAAAGAGCGCATGCGGTGTAGCAATTGCATTCCCAATCTGCCGGTAGAGCACATCAAGCTTGGAGGAGAAGACCGAGGTCTCAAGCAGACCAAGAAGGCCCGCTAGCAAGGCAGGATCCAAGAACTCAGGTCCAAAGTCTCCTTCACGAAGTGTAGCAAAGATGCCCTTCTGCTCAAGACATGACCTCGGTAACTCATGTTGGAAACCATATGAAGCACAGACAGTGGGGACCGGTTCATGCGATTGCAAGTACCTCGAGCGAATGATAGCCTCTGTAGGCATATCTGGTGCAATTTTCATGCGCTTTGACGGAGGCAAGAGCGAATGAAGTCCATACAGCACTTGGATAGACTGCGGAATGGTGATCTTCTCACGGAGACTGCGAGGCAATTGGAATCGAAATGCATCAGAAGTCCATTGCTCGAACCTAAATGCACGAAACTGGTCGGACTGGCTTTCAACATGCGAAAAAAGGTCAGCCCTGACATACACGGCGAGCCAACGAGTGCGTTGCATATGTGCAAAGGTAGAGTATGGGAGAGTGCCCTCCCACAAAGCACGATAGCCAATGACATGCAAGAGACGACGAATGATTGGAAAGTGGGCATGGCGAGCGAGTTCGTCCACACACTCCAAGTTCAACATCGTGGGTTGGGCAAAAGCACACTGTTTTAAACAGTCAACAAAAGTCCACCCTTCAAAACAGTTTAGACCTCTTCCAAGGCCTCCCCGGCTCCATGAAATGCAAGGAGGTGATGCTGTAAAAATGAAATTGGCCAACGGCTGCACCACATGCAGCAGGCAAGGGTCAGCCACTTCCGCCCTCACAACTTTGTGAAGGGAGACTTCAAATACAGCACTGGCCTGAACTGGTGCAGGCGTGACATTGCATCCATGCTTGCAAGTGCAGCGGTGACTTCAACATCCACATCAACAAACGTTTGCGTACCCAATCGAAGAGTGGAGCAAAACCGTGGCAGCGAGCTGAGAGCTTGGCCCCATCCAGAAAAGGCACCTGAAAAGATGTGCAGACATTCAATCGCTTCATCAATCACAGGCATGGTCTTCTTCAGGAGGATAGCACGGTGATCACCAGTCCAGAGGCCAATATCCTGGGTCGTGAAAAGGCCTGCACAGACAAAGGGATCGCCAGCAATCAAATTCAGGGACCGCTTGTGAGCATCGTGGATGCAGATCTTGGCTTCCGTCATCTTCTCTCCAGTAAAACCCTGGCCAGCAACAAATTGCATGAGGGAGACTTCAAAGATGTCGTTCACCTGGGACCAAAACGTTCCAGCCAGGATCGTGTAGTGCTCCCAGCAGAGAGCTGGGCCATCGCCCACACCTTGAAGGAGAGCCCTGGCCCTTGACCTCCAGGGATCCTCCAAATCACACAAAAGCAGATCTAAGTCCATGGCTCTATCCAAAGGAGTGCAAAGAACCTATCTACCTAAGTGGAAAAGGTGTGGACAGGAGAAGTCCACTCTGTAGACGCCTGCCCACAGCCGCGAGGCCGTCGAACAGGCCCCGGCCCCCGTGAGGCGTAAGCTCAAGGGTACTTGAACCCAGAAAGCTCTAGTAGTCTACTCTGTTCATTTGCAGTGGTCCGGTTTTGACCCATAGCTTTTGTGCACTTTGTAATGCTACACCTCCAAAAGCTTGATTTCAACATGCAACCCCAAACTCCTGTGGTTGCTAGCCACATCCGGATGCTGCAGGAGTTAGAGCATGACCAACCTGCAAAAAAGGATTTTGCACGTTCATGGCGATGTGTGTTCGTGTTCCACAAAAGCTTAAAGATTATCCATTGACGGGGTAGGTAGCTTCACGGCACGGCTTGCTGCCTTTCCAGACTCCCAAAAAAAATCACTGGAGCCTCATAGCGGGGGTTTGACTACAGAGCTACATAATTAACCCTTGTGGCTAGGGTCTGGTACATCAAGCATGGAAGTTTGACTCTCCATGACTGAGCCTTTTGGGAAAAAAGTAAAAAACCACATCAAGAATACCAAAGCCCCCAGAAATGGTTAATGCACACCCCTTAGCCGCAGCCTTAACCTCTAATGGACTTCTATTAGACAGCCCTTTGGGGGGCCCTGGTAGTTCTCAATTGGGAGGACGAGAATACCAGCATAATCCATTCTCATACAACAGGTAGTAGTAGACTCGCGTCCATGGTGATCCATTACACGCAATATCCAAAAACAGGAGGGAATTCAACTGGTGAGTTCGATTGTTCAGCTGTTCAAGACCAACACTTCCCATGCAGAACCCCTAGCTCATTGGGTGGTGAGCAGAGCTCCGGGCACTGCAACGTGAGCTCACAGGTGCATACGACCTTCATTCATCATTGCAAATATGGGATGGTTCAAAACATGGGAGCCCTGGTCCACCATGTAACTTGCAAGTCACGTCGGTAGGTCACCCAAGGTATCCTGGTGCCATGACCCACAGCCATATGAGCTCCATAGACGGCGCTGTGACCCGCCCTCCCAATGAAACCCGCCCTACCGGGCCCCACCTGTCACAAGGACTGCTAGGCCGCGAAGGCTTGTCATGAGGCGTCACAGTCGACGGTGCACTGTAACCCGTCCGAGCCCAGCGCGCACGGTGTTGGGACCGGACCGTGGACCTGAAGAGTTGGTGGTCACCTGTTTGGGGCGAAGTGCCTACCGGGAACTCCTTAACCCTGTTAAGAACCCAAGGGAACCGGACGACTTAGGAGTAGCCATGGCACACCTAAGTTGAAATCCTTCAGTTCCGCAAGCGCACGCTTTCCAGGTTTTTTTCGCAAGCATCGAACACTGGCTTCGAAAAAAACATCCATTGAAGATGAGAAAGTTCTGCGTGCTTTTCGTTGATTTGTTGCCACTCTTCCTGATCTTCCTGGTGGACCGCTTCCATTGTGGTCTTGACACGACACTATGGCCCGAAATGGCTCCAAACTAGCTACCGCACCCAAGCTTGTAGCAATGAAGCCAAAAAGCGTTGAAAAGTAGCTCAGGGTGTTGTTTGAGATGACTCTGTGAGAGAGTGGTGCTACTTCCCTCTTCCACCGCAGTTGTATCTTGAATACTTGTGCTTTCCATGGTCTTTGAGCAAGTCAAACAGCCAAACACCAGTCAACTGTCCAACATGGTCTTTCTGCAACCATTTCAGACTGACAAGACCTGTCCAAAAACTGCTCCCAGCTTTGATGTGCCTTAATATCCTAGCTGAATTTTGACGATGTGAAAGAACATGCTTTCACCAAAAAAAGATGTCATCTGCGGACTGCTTGAGACTGGTTTGTCGACATCTCGAATATGCAGTCCACGGACAAAAGGGTTGCAAAGGCTCCAGTGCATTGCAATCACCCAACAAAACTGAAAACACGGCGTGAAGCAAGTCCGCTCAACCTCCACAAATGAAAAAAGAGGCGACAAAATTCAGCTTACATGAACAGAATATATAGACTACTGGGAAGGTCAGCCTACCAGGGTTTAAGGGTGACCCTGACCACGGGTTACATGAACAGACTTGACTACCTGGAGAGGGGTTCCCCTACCAAGGCTTTTCACGGGCTCGAAAGAAGCCGTTTCAAGACTCACAGCCATGTCGGCCGACGTAGTTGACACTCTGATGAACATCACGTTCTTTCTTCCGCTGCCTTAGCTATGAGGAGCCATGTTGATAATCTGATGAAGATCACATTCCATATGGACCACCACCTGTCTGCATCTTCGGAACATCATCGGAACGGAACCGTGGGGGTTTGAAGCCGGGATGCCTCGGTTAAGCTGCAAGGAACCTTTTGATTTGGACCCTCACCAATTTCAAGGAGCTAATTAAGGGTTACTGAAGACATATATACTATAATAATCCACTTTACTGTATAGTAGATATTTTACAGTATCCACTTATATTTATACTATTATTGTAGTATATCTTATGGACATCTCCACTCCAAATCAGCCTCACAACTGCCAGAACGGCACGTGTCCATTTGTCTTGCAACAAACCAATTTTCGGATTTGTACCACAAACAGGCCATTGTATATTAGTATATATATATATTAGATAGTTAAAGTTAATCAAACTTGGCTGTTCCACCCAGCCAAGGCATTCAATTCTGGATCAGTAGTAGCACATAGGACTTTGTCCATTTGATCCACGCAGCTAACTATAGTTCAGTTCATGGCAACGGACGTTGGCCCATCCGCCCAGTGAGCTTCTTCGGCCAGCACTCCTTTTTGGGGCGCACCTGCTTGTCTGGGAATCCAGAGCGCACAGTGCTCCTTCAGTAGAACGCACTGGAGCCCTTCTTCTTCTTCGCCTTATCCTCCTGGAAGGGTTCTTGGAAGCCCTCCAACTGGAAGCCGGGCAGCAATTTTCTGGTCTTCATCCTTAACATCCTCCTGAGCTCAGTCATTTGTCAAATCAATGAAAAACACTTGCCATGAGGGGCTTGAGCTTCACATTTTGTCGTTTTGGATTGGTCCGTTTTCGACCAATTCCTCGTCGATCCTTCAAAAGGCCGGTCAGACCACCCTCCCCACTCGACAACCCGGGACACCGGGAGTGTCCGGACCCACCACCCCCGGTGTGGTTGACCACCTTCTTGAGCGCTTTGGCCATCTCCGTGCGCTGATACTTCTGCTTGCCACTGGCGAACTCCTGCCATAGGGGTCGGGGTGCCGCAAAGGTCAGCGGAAAAGAACTTCTGCGCAGCATGGAAAACATGCCAAATTGACGCCATGCAGCTGCAAAAGAAAAGTACGGGTCCTGTTCCTCCATGTTTGGCTCACTTGGTTGGTCGTTTCCCATGTCCAACCGCTGCTTCTCGCGTGTCGCCGTGCCAGGCGGGACCGACGGTCGTCCGACACTGGGACCATCCGACCGTCGCATGGCAGAGAAGAACAAGACCCCCAAACACCGGAGAAAAGGACAGTCGTTTTTGTGTTGCTCTTTTAAAATGATGTTTTTTGTTTTAATTGTGTGTGTTGTTTTCATGTCTATTTTTATATTAAAAAAACAAGGTGTACCACGAAACTACCTCAACCTCTGTTGGACAGGTCAAGTGGGTTCCAACCAACGTCTCCGTCTCGGTTCCAACGTCTCCAGTCTCTCCGGCCTTGATGAATTTGTTCTTGGAGCCACCGTACTCCTGGCAGATTCGAAGGAACCCCAGCCCCGGTGGGCTCTGCACGCTCTTCGCAGGCGAGGAATACGTCTACACGCCGAAGCCGAAGCCTTAATCTCCAAGGCTCGGGGGAAAAGACTGGCAGGGCAGGCATGGTCGGGCACCACGGTCACAAAATGTCTGCTGATGGATTGCTTTCAACCCACCTGAAAAAAAACTGCGTGTCAGTGGAATCAATCATCCCAAGTCAAGGTTGAATATGGTTGAACATATGCATGATTGAAACCACCACCCACTTCAGTTGGTGTTTGAAGCCAAGGGGTTGGGTGTTAAAATGGTCCCCTTTATCAGGTCCAAGCTATGCTTACTGATATCATGTGATATCATGTCCGAGCCGAATTGGTCTGATGAAGGCTGATTTGGTTTGATTCTGAGGTTGGTTGAATGGGGCTAGTTATGGCTAGTTCAATGTTCATGCAATCAGTCCCACTAGACGTATACATGCCTGGATACAGCGGACGGACGCAGGTGGTGCCTTGTGGTTTCATTTGTTCTGCAGAATCGGCCCGGCCCAAGTTGGTCAAACCAGAGGGGGGGATGGAGGAAGATGGGACTATGGACTGATGGACTGACAGATCACTCAAGGTCCAAAAATGTTCAATCTTTGGACCAATTTTGGGGCAAAAACTTGGTGGTGCCAAGATCGAGACAAGAGTAAATGTCCGAATCCCATGGAAAAACATTGAAGATGGAGAATGGAATGGTGGGTGGAACCCTTTAAAACATCTGGTATAGAGGCCTTTTCATACAATTTCAGTTAATCAATGAACGAAGTCAAACACATGTTTTATCACAGTACTATAGCAAGACTGCTCCAAACACTGGTCGTTTCCGCCCCCGCCTGAATCTTCTTCCGCCAGCCGTCCCCGCCGTCGCCCACTTTCTGGCCAGGAGACTCTGTGCAAAGTTCAGTGTCACAAGTTAGAATCAGGCAGGTCTTGGTGGTGTGACTAAGAATGCCTTGAAGTAGCGCCGAATCCCTTTGAAAACCACATTCCAGCACGTTGAAATCATAAGTTTGGGGTGCTCGAACAATTTGGTGTCATGGGAATCTGGTTGTTCCTACCAACTGTTACCATGATGGCCTGGTTGTTGTATGTCATGGGAACCTGAGGAACCCTGGACATCCTGTTGTTTTTGGGTGTTTGGGGTTCCCTGAGATGGTCGGACTGAAGGGTCGGTCCCTTCATTGCGGATCCCTACTTGTAGGATCTTTGAATAATACAAGTGTTTTTTTGTTGTTTTTCATGTAGTTCAGTTAGCTCAGGTTGTTTAATTTGTTCAGATAGTTGTTTAGGTTTTCAGACCGCTCAAATTGTTTAAGTTGTTCAGGTTGCTTAGGTTGTTCAAATTGCCCAGGTTGGGCAGGTTTTGAAAAGGCTCGGGGTTTTCAAGTTGGATGGGTTGCTCTTGAATCCACTTTGAGATTCAGGGGGTCCCTGGGGATACCCATTCTATAGTATAAAAATTGAACAGTCATATATAAACAGTCAGAGTTTTTAGAGTCAAACAATCTAGGTCGGCTAGTGAACCTGATCAAGAGACATAGCATAGTTTACCTCTTTACATGCTACAAAATCATAGCGCAGTTGTCAGGAAACACAATGCGTCAACCAAACTTACCAAAAACATGATTATACAGTCCGGTTTCGCCGGGATGTTTGTTGTTGTAAACCAAGATTTGGTTGAATTTACCCAGGATGTGCGTGGAAGGTAGTCAGAAAACCAGCTAGATACTCCAAGAGGCATTCCAGGCAGGAAGGGGTTTCATTTTCAAGAATGACTGCTATCATGACTGTGTAACTTCAACGCCCGGCCACGCAAAAAAAACAAGTTCTGCCAATTGTCGTGGGCCCGGCCGGGGTATCAAAAAAGGATTATATATATATAAATAGATTGTATCACCAAAAAAACATCTTCAAATTGTATCAAAAACATTCAATAACAAAATACCCCTTCACAAGGAGCTGCGCCTGCCACTGCGAACCGCCTTGGCCGGACTGCGCGATGTGAATCTTGATATGCAGTTTTCGACCAGCAGATTTCGTGGCAAGCGCAGCACTTTGAGCAGGCGCAACATTCTCAAGACCTCTGAAATAAAACTATTGATATCTCTGGATCTCAAGACCTCTCTCTCTGCATCTCAAAACTTTGCTGGAACTTTCTGGATCTCGGCCTTTACATCTTTCTACACCCTCTACAAGTCCAGACCCCTAGAACTTAGATTTCAAGACGCGTCTGAATCTCAAGACTCAAGACCTCTAAACCTCCATCTTTAGATCTGTGGGTTTCTAGACCTCTACACTTCTAGATCTGTCTGGATCTCCAGGCCTTTGGACCTGCAGACCTCTTTCCATCTCAACCGTCTCTGAATTTCAGAGCTCTAGATCTCTGTAGATGGATCTCAAGACCTCTCTGAATCTCGAGACCTCTAGACCTGTGGATGGCTCACAAAAGGTGCTACGTTGGAATGGCATCTTCCTCCTCTAAAGTTTGCACTGACAAAAGGTCTGCTCCTCTAAATTTTGCCCTCGCATGGCTCACAAAAGGTCTACTGCTCCTCTATCTGCTACCTTGGCGTTGCACCTAATTTTTATCCTCGGGTGGCTCACAAAAGGTCTGCTACGTTGGAATAGCAAATTCTACCCTCGGGTTGCTCACAAAACAAAGGTCTGCAACGTTGGAATGGTGGTTTCCTCTTCAAAATTTTGCCATCGAGCGGCTCACAAAGAAAGGTCTGCTACATCTGGTGATAAAAGCTCTGCCACAGTGCTTCGCCAGAGGACCAAGGGACCAGAGGACCAAGGGGCCACAGGACCAAGGGTCCTGCAGACCAGGACAAAGGGACCAAGCGACCAGGGAACCAGCAGGGGAAATTTTCTATTTGATACAAATTATTTGTGATATAGGAATCAACTTTCTTTTTGATAGGCTTCCTCGCGGGCCCAATCTCGCTTGGGACAAGTCCTTTATCAGATTCAACACGCGGCCCCCAATGTCAAGTCTTTGGAACGTGACCAAGCCATGTGTGTGATACCAAAAGGGCACAGTCGGTAGCCAGGTTTATCCTACTTTTTGTTGTCGTTTTCATATTTGTCCTTAGACCTTTGTCGACCGTTTACCTAAAGACTGTTAAATCGTAGACCTTCCAAGTGCCGCTACAGCCGGCTGCGAATCACAAAGTGCAAAACGTGGGCTTCCGGGCCGTCTTTTGGTCGTTGGGCGTTGTGGCCCTTCTGCCCCAAGAGGAACGCTACAGTCACAGGCCACAAGCCGCAGCATGCAAAGTGGCTGTGGGCATGCCCGAGCTGCACTGCAGGCATCTCCTGATTTGTTGGTAGTTCACAGGCTTGCTGCGCAAGTTGACCGCCCAACAACTTTGCTGCTACTTTCAGATCCCGGCCACAATCTTAGTCACAAGAGGTGGGCGTAAGGGCGAAATAACTCACTTGAGATGAAGATTTGCTGCAAGATGTTGAACCATCTCCCGACCACTGTCCACCAAGCAGCTCAAAATGAAATACAGCGAAAAGGCGAAAAGGGAGCGGAAGTCTGCGCAGCCCTTTTTCGGGGGATCTTTGCCCCCCTTCGCCTGGGCACGCTTGCCTTTCGTCGGTCTCGGGCTTATTGATCACCCAGGTGGGGGCCCTTCCCAAGACCTCAGACAAGCGCAGGGCTTCCTGGGTTATTTCTAGTGTATCAGGCGCGTCCGATTCGCTGTCGCTGGTGTTAAAAAATTTGCCGGATTCCATTTTTTTGCGTACCTGCACCGATGAAACGTTGAGCACCTGAACTCCTCAACTCCATGAACTCCATAATCACCTTTTGGCGCAGACCCCTGAGGAAAATGATCGCAAATTAGGAAGATGATGCCAGGGCACCCTGTCACTCCAATTGGTGCCAAAGGCCTTCAGGAATGACTCCTTCACACTCGGCGCATGCTGTTCTTTGATCTTAAGCGTGTGGCACTGTGGACGGCCCTGCGATGCACTGTCTCCACTGGAAGACTTCCGCGCAAACTTGAGCCGTCTCACTCGGCGCTGCCACGCTAAGAGGCGCGCAACGCCTGAGCACCGCCCATTCAGGGTACTGGTGTATCACCTCGCCGATGACCAGCTCTGGAATCCAGAAAGCTGGTCGACGGACTCGATCCCTTGCCCACTCTCAAAGCAGTCCGGCACGGCCGCAAGCAGGGCTATGTCCTCTCGACTTGGTGGAGACCTATCGGGCGCACGAGCGACAAGAGAATTGCGGAAGCCTTCTCCCACTTTAGGGCTCGCTGCGTGGATGGCTTCGGCACCTGCCGCATGTAGTGTGGCGTCGCTGCCACAAACCTCATATTTACACCCGAAAATCCAAGTTGACAGGCTGCGTCTATCTATCCGTTTCGCGTGTTTCCCCTTGCAACCTCATCATGGTAGAGCACTTTTGGGCGCGTGGCTATGGTCACCGCAGTCTTTCTAAAACGCAGGTAGTCACAGGTAGTCGGCGAACAGAGAAATGTAGGAGGAATAGACGCTCGCAAGAAACTCCAACAACCAAAGCTTGCGCAGTTGGAAAACATTCCGGCTACAATGCCCTTTCAAATTTCAACGGATAGGTCGGCTATCTAAAAATATGCTAAGCATATAGCACCGGCAAGCACATAACTTGATTAGCAATAATTACACTCAAAAGACTAGAGCTGTGTAATGTTGTAAATAGATGCAGGCACGGGCCCTGTGAGTAGAGTCCGTAAGTTTATACTGCTTTGAGACTCTTAGAGGCAAACACCATGAACGACGACGACGACGCCCGCGGAAGCGACGACGACGACGACCGTCTTCTTTCATTTCTGGGACTTAACTTCTGACAGCGCGGGCAACCCGGCCTGCTATTTCGTGACCAGCCGGCCGGCCAAGTAGTAGTAGTAGTAGTAGTAGTCGTAGTAGTAGTAGTAGTAGCAGGAGTAGTAGTAGTAGTAGCAGTAGTAAGTAAGTAAGTAAGTTATAAGTAAGTTAGTTAGTTAGCTAGTTAGTTAGTTAGTTAGTAGTGGTAGTTACTAGTTACTAGTTACTAGTTAGTAGCTAGTAGCTAGTAGTTAGTAGTTAGTAGTTAGCAGTTAGCAGTTAGCAGTTAGCAGTTAGTAGTTAGTAGTTAGTAGGTAGTAGGTAGTAGGTAGTAGGTAGTAGTAGTAGTAGTAGTAGTAGTAGTAGTAGTAGTAGTCGCCGACGGTCGTTGATCAGCCGGCCGGCCAGCCGGGCTGTGGATCTTGGCCGGCCGGACGGCCGGCCGGACCGTGGATCTTGGCCGGCCGGCCGGCTGGCTGATCGAGAAATAGCGGGCCGCGATAAGCTCGCAATGGTAACTTCTTTCACTTTCTTCACTTTCTACTCTGAGACGAAACCCACCCGACAGGTGTTCTGCTCATGCTTCTCCCAAAATTCTGACCAGTAGACAGCGGGAACATGCGTGTGTAAACGCAGCGTGTTGCTGGTGAGGAGGAGGAGTGGTGGTTTCCTAGGATTGTCATACAAGAGTGTCCCACAAGAATATCTTGCAAGTGTCCCACAAGAGTGCCCTGCAGTGTCCCACACAAGTGGCGTCCTAACCAAGAGTGTTTTACACGAGTGTCCCACAAGGGTGTCCCCCAAGAATGCCCCTCAAGAGTGTCTCACAAGTGTGTCTTGCATGAGTGTCCCACAAGAGTGCCCTACAGTGTCCCACGCAAGTGCTATCCTAAGCAAGAGTGTTTTACAAGACTGTCCCACAAGGGTGTCCCCAAGAATTCCCCACAAGGGTGTCTCACAAGAGTGTCATGCAAGAGTGTCCTACAAGAGTGTCATGCAAGAGTGTCCTAGCCTACAAGTGTGTCTTGCAAGATTGTCCCACAACACTGTCCTACAACACTATCCGCGAAAACGTGTTGTACATGAGTCCACCACAGGCCCCACAGGAATATCTTGAGACTATCACATCTACTTTATCCTGGCATTGGCACTATTGTCGCCATCATCAACAAACTCACAATATAATCACCATCGTCATCATGGCTGTCATAATCATAATCCTAATCATCATCGTCATCGTCGTCGTCATCGTTCATGGGTCTGTGATGTGTCCTTCAAATGTCTTTTTTTGGGGCTTCATTGTGGAATTGGAAGACTCGAACACATGCTTTTGGTGGTGTCTCCACGGCATCCAACATGACTGACATGAGTACCTCGTTTTGCTTTCTAGGGGTCTCAGGGAAAATTCTGGAGGTGCAGTTTGTTGTTTAAAGTGATGTTCTGCATCTGTTGTCACCGCTTTAGCCTCAGATTCTCGCAAAAGATAATTTTTATAAACAACCTAGTGTGTGTCTGCTCCCTAGGCGGCCTTTCACTTTCAAAATGTTCAATCCACCTCCATCCTTGAGCATCCTGCTGGCAAAAAATTAGTAAGCTTCCATAATGTGACTCCCGTACATTCCATTACCAAACCTTGAAACAAGCGCTCTGTTTATATTATGTTTATAAGATGTTTCGACCGGGTTCCCATCTTAGGTAAGTCAAACGCCCCGTGTCATCAGGCAGAAAAAAGGCATGTTTTTTACAAAATGATAATCCAATCTCCGATTTGGGCACAAACAGACTGTCTGCTTTATAAAATGGGTCTTTGGTTCTGTTTTGTAGCGGAAAAGGATACTCACTTTATAGTGACTATAGTGACATACTAGAGGGGGTTCCAAATTATTTATAACTGTGTATACTATTATACCAACCACCCAGGTTGCATCGCATACCGCGCACCGGCCCAGTTCGTCTGAAAGCCTGTGAGACACCCTGACCCACCCTGACTTTGCGCGGAGATGCCACGGGTGGTGCGCCTCTTCAAACAGCAAGTGGTCCGCGGATTGCTGGTTTTTATTCAATCGATAGCTTGGAGCCTGGCGCGAAAACAACTCTCCGTCACGAATCAATGGGAGCTCAGGCGCTTTGTCACCATGGTGAAACCCATGGCTTTACCAAGTTTGGCACCACAAACCAGAAGCAACTTGGACCCAAATGTGCGGAGAACAAATCCTCCAGTTCTTGAGTCGCACCAAGCAGTCCCTTTGCAGGAAGTCTACCAGAATAAATATATAAAAATAACATGTAAAAGCCTTGCTGAGAGGAGGCCCTTCTTCACTCATCCCACCTCCTCCTCCAAACCAGTGAACTCGAGGAGCTCCTACGACCACGCGGGAGCGGCGACCCCGATCGGAGCTCTGGAGCTCGAAGCGAATGACTGTGGTGGAAGACGGTGCTTCGGAAGAAAACGGCGGACCCATGCGGACCGACCCATATTATATTGAACATGATTAAACTGAACAAGGTATAAATGCCTAGCTGCATTCGTAGAAAAGCTGCGTTGGGCTTGAGCGACCTGTTCTAAAGTTGAACATCATTAAACTGATACTGAACACTTCGCGCACCAAAGATCATCTAAATTTAAATCCCAAATCGTCCGCGGTATCTATAACATATTTAGGGAAAAGGTCCTGCCGGTCCTGCTGTCTACTGGTGAAAGATGGTGAAAGCAACAAACACAAGATCACAAAAAGGTTTGCCCAACACTCCCAGCACGACATCGTGAGAAACGAGATCTGCACGACCCACAACGAGATCCGTGCTTTCTGACCTCTTCCCCTGCACCACCCCGGGCTCCTCCACGGTCATACACCGATTCTCCAACATCCACCTCAAGAACCTCGGAGGCTCGAACCAACAAAGGTTGAAGGACCCAAACTAGACTATACCAGCTCGGTACCCCAGTGGGGTCCTGTTTACGGTACACCGAAACCACCTCTCTTGGTGTCGGAGCGATGGGTTGGTGTGAGGTCGATCGAGGTCGACCCAACGAGTTCTTGGGGTGAGCGACTGAAGGAGGCTCTAACCCTCCGATCTGTTCAGGCTGGTATACATGGTGAAAAACATGTTTTGTGGGGGTTGTCCTGAAGGTGGCTTGTGTGGATGATGATTGGTTTTAGATGGTCTGCTAATGTCTGCAACCACTTACCATTACACCCATCTGCCAGTGCATGGCTTAAAAGCCATGGCAGTTCATCTTTTGGGGGGGCCACAACACGCATGGCACGACACGCGTCTGACCATTACTTGCCTCTCAGCTGTACGGTCTAGCCGGTAGCCTATTGCTCATGCACCGAATGATTAATCAAATAAAAAACTATGACGCAGAGGTTGGAGGGCGCCATGCGCATAGAAAGAGCCAAAGGGAGATCAGAAAACAAGGGAATCTACACGATCTGGCAACGGGACGTTGGTACTTGAACGCTTCGTCGGAATCAAGCACAAAGCGCGAACGCGGACGAAGGTCATACCATCTGGCTGCTCCAATTCAGGCATCGTTTTAGAGCCGGGGGCCCACAGGCCCACAACCTCTGGACTCCTTCTTCCAGCAGCTTTCCACGACTTTGGGACTTCAATCAGAACTTCTTGCTGAGAAAACGAAAGAAACACATGTTTGATGTCCACAATAGCTGAGTATCCAGTATCCATCCAACACATGTTAAACATGTAAACACAGTGTCAGCCAGTTGATCATGGAACTAGCTTGGGATACTCAGGCAACAGTAACAACTTGAGTTTGTCATTGCACAGACCTACGTAGCTCAAACTGCTCCGTCAGTTCTGGTGGTGCTCCTTCTCCTCTCTAAAGCTGCTCAAATCGCGCAGCTTAAACGCTGTACCTTTTTGACATGTTTCAAACCAAACCTGACCGTTTTCAAACCTCCTGGCACTCGGATTCGACACGGGACTTGGTCCAAAAAGAAACCCAGCTTCGTCGCCGTCGCCGCGTCGAGGTCGGATCAACACATCTCTCAAATCGGCCATCCCGACAGAGGTTGAAGGACCCTATAGATCCCTATGGACTATACCAGCTCGGTACCCCAGTGGGGTCCTATAAGGTCACTTAACCTCTCTTGGTCACTTTGCTCATCAGGGAATTTGGCCATTGCAGCTCTCCATCGCTGTCGGTTTCGATAGCTCGCTGCGAGCTGTTGTTACAATGACGGCCTAATCACGTCTCGTAAGATCTTGGAGGGCAAACTCAAAGAGCTGCTTGCTTCACGGCTGGTAGGTGTCAAGGAAGACTTCATCCGTGTTATCAATAGACAGGACAGGACTGATGACTAATCCAAACTCAACTGTCTATTCCAGGTGAGGGCTATGATGGGATATATATTTTGTATACCTGGAGCCCTGAACACTGTTTTTTTTCCAGATGGTCTTTGAGTGAGTGAATCTTCCAAACTTACTCCACTTGAAAAAAGCGTCTCTCGAGGGTACAGATACCAGGCTATCTGAAGTTTCGGTGCAGAACCACCGTGTAATACCGTGTAGCTTTTTCCTCAGCTCCATGTGCTAAACGGTTTCACCTGGCGCGCGACAAAACCACCTCACCCAGTTGTGCCGCCGAGCAGCTCCCCCTTGGCCGAAAGAGCTGCATCTTTGTCAGAGATCTTGAAATCCACCTGTGCAGGGTCCAGACTTCCTTCAGCTGTGTTTCATCAAATCCATCTGTTCACTGTCTAGCACTATATATATATATATAGCCCAAACACCCCACATATGCCATATATGCCTACATTCTCCTACATTGACCCCCCTGGCACCACCCTGATCGGCAAAGATATGGCAGTCCCAAACAGGTCGCGTCTATCAGACCGCTCTCTCCCCCTCGCCCTCGTCTCCTTGGGGTTTCACCTCCCTGGGCCAGCAAGACTCTAGCTCGACGGGGGTGGAAAGGATCTCTGAATACACTCCACAACTTATCCATGAGGTTCAGTATTTCTGGACTTGTTGGTCCTCACAAAGGCAACTGGAAATCCTGCAAACCATCTTGCACAATAGTCGAGTTCAGTTGCAGCCTGTGAGAAACTTGACATGTCACCTCTTCCTGGGCTTTGCTGTCATCTTGTCCAATCTCAATATCTTGACCTGTCCCTTCGCACTTCCTTCATGTTCTATGGGCGGATGAAAAAGCCACATGACCCCGGACGTGACCATGACACCATGTGGCGCCCCGCGGGCTTCCGGACGTCGCGCCCCGCACCTTCACCACACGGGTGCCCTCTGGAAGCCGTTCCGGATCAGTGAAGCTCTTCGCATCCTTCGATGGCAACGGGTTCCGGTGACCGCGAAGGGCTTCGGAACGGTTGGGTGGCCGGCCTTCTCCCGGCAAAAAGCACCTCTAAAGCAGCCTCCCGGGTTTTCTGGAAAGACTTGTCTTTCCTCTAAAGCAGGAGATGTTCACTTTCCATGATCGGGTCAATGAAAGGGTCCGACTTGATGAAGATTTCGATACATGTTCGGGTTTTCCCCGGATTATTGTACCGGAAATTGGGGATAAAACACATCAACTCTGCCAACTGCGCCTACCAGGTTCCATCTTCCTTCCTCAATCATCAGCTGACCACTATGGTAACCTGGAACCAGAAAGGTTAAATAGTGGAACCTCCTATACTAGACGAGACTGGCGATCCTATTTGGCAGGTTGGTCCTGGAGAGGTGTTAGCAGTACAAGCCTAACCTTTTCGATGACAACAACAAAAATCACGAAATCCAATCGAACGAATTTGGTTTCACAAACACAATTCAAACCTGTTCTTACTTTTTGCTACCGGATCAGAACCAAAAACCGATACATTGGCAATCTTCGGCATCTTCTACAACCATACAACATCCGCTGTGCACCGTGAAAAGAACCACCCTGGAACCACATAGTTCATTTATATAAACTCACATGTCACATATTCGGAACTGCGGATATCCTGTGATGCCTTTGCATTTATAGCAAGTGGAGGCACAAGCGGAAGGAAACGGAATGACAGCGGATGAGTGCATGCGGATGATGAACCAAGATGTGAGCACGATGCTTAACTGCTTAACATATATTGTCATGACTGGGAATGAGGAAGATAGGGAGGGAGGGAGTGAGTGAACGGAGACTGAATTGGTGTCAGAGGAGTCGGTGTGAGATGAGCTGGTGTGAGATGAGTTGGCGTGAGATCAGTGAGATGGGCCGGTGTGAGATGCGCTGGTGTGAATGCGACGATTCCAGCAATCATAATATAAGGACGTCACAGGACTTAATTCGACTCGAGATCGGACAGCCTCTTCTGCTGCCAGATCGATGATCACTGGCATTGGGAGCCGCTGCAAGGCATCCTCTAAGTCCTCGACAGAACGGATGAAGTCGGCATCCACCAAGTGGTATCCGTGGAAGTGAACACCCCGGCCGGGCCCGACGTAAACATATTGCATGATTTTAAACTGAAGATGGGCCCCTGAAATGCCCTCAAACCTGTATACTACTGTCTAATGACTTAGGCAAATGTGGCTCAAGTGACATACCCACACGGCTACCCACAGGGCTATAGGTCATCTGCGCTCACACATCGAGCAATACAGGATGTCTGGGTGGGAAAACCTGGTGTCATAGGACCTGTGGACGCCTCCACAATCTAAAAAGAACAAAATCAAACATCTTCACTGGACGCCTCTTTTCCCATGAGTTGTGATGGTTGTGGCCTGATGACACAGGACTTAAGAACTAATGACAAGGTTGGTTCAAGCCTGATGACATAGGCCTTTGGAATCGGCATATATGTTCGACAAGTCCTATATACGTTCCTAGTCAGAAGTACAATCCGCCGACCCTGGCTTAGCCGTGCCATGCCGTGCCTAAGCCGGGCGGCGCTCGGGGCACCGCAGGGTGGAACCTTGACAATTGTCCGTTTCTACACTGGGCGAACATGGGCCAAGGCTGTGGCGAAGGACGCCGTCCTGGCCTCTGGGCGTGGTTTTGCCAACTTTTTTTTGCTGGGTTTCGGACTGCTGCCACGCAAAGTGCCACACACACACAGGAACTTATTTTGTTGTAGTTGCGTGTTTGTGGTTGTGTGTTGTGTTTGTGTGTGTGTTGTGGTGTGTTTATGTGTGGTTGTGGTTGTGTGTTTGTGTCTGCTTGTGTCTGTTTGTGGTTGTGCGCGTTTGTGGTTGTGCGTGTTTGTGGTTGTTGCGTTTGTGGTTGTGTGTTTATGGTTGTGTATTGTTGTTGCTGTTGTTGTCATGGTCGTGGTTGTGGTTGGTTGCGTTTTTTTGTTGTTGTCGTCGTCGTCGTCGTTGTTGTTCTGCTTGTGGCCGTGTTTGTGTGTTTGTGGTCGTGGTTGTGTTTCTGGTCAGTGGTTGTGTTTGTCTTCGTGTTTTATGGTTGTGTGACAAATTGTGTGTATGTCATTGCGTTTGCGTTTTGTCTGTTTTTTTTTGTGGTGGTGGTGGTGTGTTGAGGTCCGGTAGTGCCCACTATGATCTGGCACTTGCGGTTGAGGTCCGGTAGCGCCCACTGCCATCTGGCAGAGGATAAGCAGCAATGTCATTACAAACAACTTCTTGCGGTGTGGTGTCAGTGTGACAGGTACTGTAATGACTACAATTACTCTCTCCTGAGGTTTCCATAGCTCGCTGCGTTCAACTTCCAGGAGGAAGTGTTGTAGCCCTTGATCGGCAGAAATCCTCTTCTCCACCGAGACCTCCCCCCGCCATCTCAAGGAAGATCACCGCTTTGCCCAGCGAGCCAGGAACCGTCCTTCCACACGGCTCCTCCAACCTCAATGCGATGTAGCCGATCAGGTCTCCAGGGGTCCTCATCCAAGGCACCTGAAAGATGCCCCGCATATATTAATGAATTTTGCGACCATGGCGTACGTGCTGCCTGATTGTTGAGGCTCAGCTCACGCCCCATTGCGAACCTCGATGCAACAAACCTTGAGGTCGAGGCCGGGTTGTCCCCCTGCTCAATCAGCTTGTTCTTGAGCAGCCTGACCAGCTCGTCCACTCTGAGCTCCCTCTCCTTCTCCTCCATCTTCTGGCGCTGATCGTCCGAGGTGCATGCACCAACCTTACGACCCTCGTCTTCCAAAACACCTTTGGTAGGATCGACCTCGACTTCTCCAGGGATGCCCCGCCGTTCGCCTGCATCAATGGCACATCCCAAATCCTCCTGTCGATGAAGGCCTTGTCCTTATAGAGGAGCTTCTGGTGAACTAAGAAGTTGTTGTCCTCCAGATCTAACTTCCTCCGTTGCCTCTTGGCCACATGCCTAAGCTCCTCAAAGTCTGCATCACCCCAGCCCGCGGAGCCCACAGGGAGCAACTCCATGATCTCCAGACGGGGCATTCCATCGAAAAATGCCAAGGTGCTCTCTTCCCAGCCAGCTGTCAGAGCTTCTCGACACGGCCCTTGGCATCGCCCTCCATGCCGCCCCTTGGTCCCTGATGAGGCTTGTTTAAGCCAGCTGCGGTCCAAGACACGTGCGCTGGAAACATGTTAAAGCAAACATCTTGTGGGTTTCTGGTTGGTCTTGAGGTCTTTTGAAGAAGCATCAAGGGTAATCACTTTGAAGTTTGAGTCTGGGTTGGCTTGCCGTGCTGCTAGGCAGCTACTTTCTTCTCCCCCACAAAAGACAGTATAAGTTCGCATTCTCAAGCCGCAGGGCCGAAGGAAGATTGTAGATCCCCGTTATCTGCACATCTACCAAGATGGATTCATTAGGCCTGCGGCATTCCCAGCAGCAGTCGTCGACAGCACTGCCAGCTCCGCATTGGACACACCAACTGCCTCCAGGGCGGGTCATTTGTCACGCATAAGATTCTCCTACCAACCATCCGACTTCACTTGACAGTCGTTTGCAGTGGGAAGAGCCTGGAACGTGTGGACCGTCGTCAAACGACACTTCTTCTTCCGCTTCCTCTTCCGCCCACTCTTGGCTATTATACATGGGTCACTTTTTGTCAGGAAAGCCCAAATCCATTGTCCAACCTGGATGGAGGCTTTTGCAAGAAAGGCATGGTGCCAGCCTCAGCGCTTGCAGTGGTAGTGAGGCTGCCAGGCTTCTTCACCACTGGCAACCGTTGGAAATCTAGGAAGGTCCTCATCTGCCGGGGATATGTTTGGAATGCTTCTTCTTCGACGACGGGGTGCTTTTCCGGGAGCTGGCTTTCGGCTAAGCGAATGCGAAGGCGTGTGCGAAACTCCCAATCATTGTGTGATGCGGCATGAGTACCTCCTGAATTCTTGTCGGGATTGAAGCGAAGTCCAGCGACCGACATGATATCTGGCCTCAACAAGCAATTTCAAGATCACTCGGCTGCAAGTTCTGGCACGAATTGCTACGAACGAATCCTGGATCGGCTGTACGGGACTTTCCGGGATGCAGTGGGACGGAACCCAAAGCGCCGCTACCAGTGTGAAAGTGCATCCGATTTCACCGTCCGATGCGCTTTTTTACGCGTGTGACAGCGTGCTGAGCTTAAGGGCCCTGTGAACCCAAATGGCGACAGAATGTATCGTGGACAGAACTCGGCTATATACTATACAACGTCCGTCAAACAGGGAAACTTCACACATGTCTTTTCCCCTGTGTCACTGTAGCCAACTGACAAACGCATCATCTAACAATCTTGTGTCAAAGTTTACAGCCCTCAAGGCTCTTGGCTCGAATCTTCAAGACCCAAGTCAATTTAAACTGTTTGGCATTGGTTTGTCAAGGATCTTCACTTGAACAAGATGCTACACCATGCCACACCCAGCGCCGTTTCCTTCTCGATGTGTTCCTGCCAGAAGTTCCGGAGGAAGTTGCCCTGGCAGGAGGAAAAAAAGAAAAGGCACAATGGCGGAGGCCTCAGTTGAAGCTCCTCATGTTTTTGTCGAAAGAAAATTGACAGGTGCCTTGCTTCCCTCCAAAGTACCAGTTGTAGTAGACTTCCTGCTTTACTCTTCAAATGTATTTTGATGTCTATTGTGCAAAGGCGGGAAGCCAAAGCTTATTCATGCTTTTTTCGGTCACAGTTGGGGTACGGGTACGGGACTTCTTCCGAAAGCTTCGGAATCACACTGCCATAGAAGACAGCAATGTTCGCCAACATGCGATCTATTGGACCTCCTGCCTGGCACTTTAAAACCGCTTGATCACCCTCACCAGAAACTGGACGCCCCGAAATCCAGCCGCACTGCTTCTCGTTGTAATGAAACATACCGCGGCCAACGTGCCCTTCATGATCCTGGGTGGGTGCCTGGAATCACTGGGGGAACGCTATAGTTGGGATGTTGGTTTCATAAAGATCATAAACAACTCAAAAGTCATAAAAAGTAAAATAAATACCAAACATCAAACTCCTCTTGTCGAAAAGGGCAGGCGCGCTCCTATATATATTATAGCGGGGGTCAACCCCACCAGATTCATAGGCAAATAACCAAGGACTATGAGCACTTATCTGCTTGCAGACCAATCACAGTCTCACCGCCCCTGAAAATCCCAGCAAAGGTTGAAGAACCCTATAGCCTATAGACTATCCTATAGGTGCCCCAGTAGGGTCCTATATGAGGTCACTAAACCTCTGTTGGTCAGCCCCTAGCAGACTTGGTCCCCGACTTCCTGGTCGCGTGGGGCCCGGGTGCGATCCATAGATGAGGTCCAGATTCGGGTGCTTGTTCGGTACCAGCACCCGACTTCACAGGTCTCTGTGAAGTAGAAGGGTTGTTAGTTGTTGGGCCGGTCTCAAGGCCTGCGAAGTCGGGTGCTGGTACTATAGCCCAACTTTAAGTGAATGTATGCTGCCCGGAACTCCTCCATGTCCGGACGGACTAACATCCAAGAACTATGCCCTGGAAGACTCACATGGAAGCTGAAACTAGTCCTCCGTCCATTTTTCAGGTTCCATCATGTTCCATCTTCCATTTTCAGCTTCCATGGTCTTCTCGGGTGTACGTCTTAAAGGCAAGGCTGTTCCTCCAGACCCGCCAGACGCCGTCGTAGGGACACCGACCACTGCGTGAGCGAGGCACCAAGCGCCTTGCTGTTGGTCAGCTTGCTATTCAAGCCCACCGGCAGACTGAGCCTGAACGGCAAGGGACCAAACCCTCCCCTTCATCCCGAAGGGATCCCAAGGGATCGAGTAAATACATCCCGAGCCGAGTGCTGGAGCCCTCTGCAAGGTGCGCATGCAGGGGACAGGAAAGGAAACACACCGACCCTCCTGGGCCAGGCCTTATTTGGAACAGTAAACAGGTGAACCTGGGCACCCTGTTTCTTCCATACCTGTGGTCACACATAGGCTTCTTTCCCAAACCCGTTTCTTCGTCTTCTTTCACCAAGACATCACTTGGGACCGTCCATCGGACAGGTTTGGTCGTCGCCACCGAAGGCACTGCCTCCCAAAACCATTGGGGGGGTATAGAACCCGTGGATGTATTTTAAAGCGTCAGCAAATACACGACAATGAATTCTTCAACACAAAATATACATATTCCAGTAGGAAACTCATTCACTCCTTGTGTGCATGAAAAGACCGGCGAACACCGACCCCCGTTTGAGCTTAAAGATGGCATCAACTCTTTGGGAGAAGATGCCATCTTAAGCATCGACCTGGAGACCCTTCACAAGTCTAAGTACAACGGGGCAACTATTACCAAATTCCCATTGTCTGGATCTCAGGTCAAACACCTGTCTGGCCTGATCCGTATATCTATGGCAGTGCCAGAAAAACACCTCCTGTCTGGGAGAAAAACGTGGGCCGGAACTATCTAAAAGAAACTCTTTTGGCAATGAATTATACCCTACAGGTCTAGTCTGACCTAGTAAAACCTGGTCCTGAAAGCCTCCCTGAGTAGTGCTTTTGTATGACCAACTTCGGTAGGGATCCAATTCCTCCTCTTCTTGCTCCTGGCAGTTTCACTGCTCACACTGCCAATTTGTCTGGGGGGAAAATGAGTTCCAGTGATTGGCCATGCTTCATGTGGTAAACGACGTGGCCACCGTGGCCAGGGTCCATGCTAGCGTTGGTTGTAACGCACCGCGGCACCGCGCCGTTCAGCGCCCCCATGGGATCTGGAGGCTAGACACGTTTGGATCTCGTCAAACGGCCGCAGGATGCCATACAAACCTGCAGGCGCCCAGCGCAGGCGGTTGATCGGTGGGTGGCATCCATGTGATCAATTCTTGGACATATGAGTCATATGCCTATTTTTCTATGCTGTTCCTGTTCCTGCTGCACTTCCATTGGCATTGGACACAGTAAAATCTAAATCAAGCTTATCAAGAGGACGAGAGCGAGAGACCAACATAGATCAGGCCAAGCGAGCGTATCGTGTAGTTGGCCCGATCTTTTTTGTGTGCTTTGAACCACTCCTGGTTTTATCATGTTTTATCAATATTATTATATATATATATATATACTATTAATTAACCCACGTCACGACCTTCTACGGTAAATTTCACAATCCTTGGACCCAACCTCGTCGCAGGGGTCTGGAGCAGGTCCTTTCCATTCGAGGATCCGGATTCTGGTAGCTTCTGGTTGATAACTACGACTTGTTGGGTCATTTGCTTCATCAGCTCATCTGTCGAACGGCTTCATTGCAACACACGAAAAAAGGGGGGGCCTAACTCTACTCTACGCCTTCTAACTCAACCCAAACGGATCCATGGTGTACCATGGTGTACCGATCATGCCGTATACAACCCTAGAGAGTCCCAATGGATGTCGTGCCTTGGAGTCCAGTGGAGAGGTGAGCCAGGGGGGTACCTATCATCCTGGGTGTACTGTCTGGAGATACTAAAGCAAGTTAGGGTAGTCCATTGGACACCCAATTGGATGGTCCATATAGGAGAATGTGCAATCCGTCCGAGAACAAACAAATACACTCTTTATCCACACTTGCCACCACCGTTGCAGGGTTGTAGCGGCCAAGGGCACCAAGTACTCTCGCAGGTGCCACAGGGAGACATAGAACATGCTTATGAGTTACACCACCTTGGCTGATATCGTCTACCCATTGTCAAGTCGATATACAACAATGTCCGTGTTCTCTCCAGCATATTGAGATATAGACGATCTGCGACCCGATGTTTCGATGTGTGATTTGTGAACTCGCCACGTTGACCCATTGTTGAATCAGACGTGTTGAATCACGCGTTGACCCGTGATTCTTGGGGCCTCAGGCACCAAAATACCATGAACACAACCCAGACCTTCAAACCAACCTTCCGAACGGATCTCAACTGAAGTTCTTTTTGACAGCAGTCAGCACCCCCCAAATTCGGATGGTTTGTAGGCCCCTGGCCGCCATGGCCCTAAACCCCCCCCCTCCGATGTCTCCATCCAACTCACCCCACCAACCGGGTGGAGACATCGGAAGATGTCGCCTGAGAAGATCCGGACATTGGAGTTGGCCCAATCTGCGTCATCCTGGTGTCTGTCGACCGCCCCAGACAGCGGTCGAACATGGCACACCCCGTCGATGGCGACGGCGAAACCACCCATGGCCTATTTTCAATATGGCAGTCCCATGGTTCGTGGCTGGCAACTCGTAAGTGGCGCAGGGATGCAAGTGTCCCTTTCATCTACGTCGTGGGTGATTGTATCCGGAGATGGATCTCCATGTTTTTTGGAGGTTCAATGCTGGAAACAGGACCGGTGGACTGTGGGGAAACCACTACCGTGCCAACAGAGTTTGACTTCTGCCGGCCTAACATAGAAAATTCAAGTTGGCCTATGTTCCACAACTCTCTATTAGAAAGAACTAGGCTTTCAATCAACCATGTGCATGTTGTATCGATGAACCATTTCCCTGGCAAATTGCAAAGAGAGGTGACAGGTTTGTTGGGCTGACTGGCTTGGAACATATCACCCATCCTCGGTGCGGCCGCTCCTCATCAAAGGTACCGAAGCCCGTGGCGTCATAAAGGGGGGTGTCGTACAAACTGCAGCCTCGTCGTCAACCGAGCGGGGATCGATCAAACGGAGTCAGCAGGGGGTCAGGACTTGGATGGACTTGGTGGTTTGTGGAACCCAGAGCACCTGTTTTTGGAACCCGGCGGCATGCATCACCCCAGCCCCACCACGGATCCGTGCTTCCAAGGCATCAGATCCCACAATCTTGAGCATGGAAGGCTCCTCTACCTAAAAGTACCTTTGTACAAAGGAGGTCATGGAAGGCTGGGAGGGCGCCAAGGCACCAAAGGCCGTGCCCCATGGACGTTGACAGACTGGACAAAGTTTCAGTGTCCTGGACATGCTCAGATGATCCGGATAGGAAAATCGAACCTGTCTAGATGATTAATTGTTCAGCCGTTGTCACGTTGTGATTTCAAGATAGCGCTCAGTCGTCTTGAAATCGCTGTGGCCAGCGACGGCCTGCAGCGGGCTTTTTTGCATGTCCTTGTTGACCGCCCGGTGCTTGTATAAGTGTGTCGGCCTCGATCTCCGAAACGAATGTGCACCTATCCCTGAGTAGGGAGTTCCCTTGAGGAGCCAGTTGAGCACTACCGCCGCTGCTTTCGGTGCTCCAGCGGCGTTTCCAAGCCATTCTCCGGATGTGCGTTTTGTCTTGCCCTTCCCATCTTCACACTACAACTTTGTCTGGATTATCTCGAAAAAAACTGGTTGAGTCTATTGATGTTGGATGCTGATTAGAAAAGGATTGACCCTCCATAATGTTAGAAGGTTTTGAATCATTCGGAGATCTGTCAATACTACTAAGCCAATGGCTGGCTTGCTGAGAGTATTGATAAGTATAGGGTTCTCTAGTTCTTCTTCAAACTGACAGCTTCCCAAAGCCATCAATTCCTTAATCAATCCTTTATGTAATCCTCAACAAACTTTCAAGATAGTAGACCAGGAAGGTCCCTGATCCTCAATAACAAATTTGCCTTAAGGATCCTCAATTGTGCATATATAATTGTACATAGTTTTTCCTGAAACAATGGTAATAATCTCAATATTTCTTAATACTACTAAGCCAATGGCTGGCTTGCTGAGAAGTTTCTCTAGTTCTTCAAAGTCGCAAAGAACCTGAGAACCTTCTTTGTCTTCTTAGTAGTATGAAAGGATTGCTGAGAACATCTAATTACAAAGAAACCTGAGAAAGGACAATGAATACTACAAAGCAATTACAAAAGGAATCCTGCCAGAAACCCCGATTTGTTTTGGTGGTAGTTTATTATAGAGGATCCCCACTAGGATCCCCCATTTATTAGAGGGGCGCGGGGATCCCATTTACTAATCCACAATACCGCACCAGTTCTAACTAGGAAGCGAGACATAGGGACTAATACTAAGCAACATCATCGATAATGTGAGCCTTGAGGGGCTCTGTCAGGTGTGTTGGGTCTCATATGGTTTCGCCCACAGCGTCCCACACCCATTTCTCTTCTGAGAATCTATGACCTTCAATGGCCAACACGAGCCTACCACCCCACTGCTCATCACTATTTGGGTGTGTATTAAAATAGGCAAACTTCCCAGTTCAACCCCCTGGAAAAGGGGAAATAGACCAGTATACCCAGTGGCCAGGCAGGAAATCCTACAACTTAAATACACATCCATTTGGGTTGTTCATGGTTGTTCTTAGGGCCCATGATATAGGAGCTATTGTGGGGGCGAACGACACGCAAAATCCCGGTGTTTTGAAACCCTGCCAGGGCTCCTGCAGGCTGCGGTGAAAATACCCCCTGTGGTTTAACTTAACGGCTCAGTGACAGTTTTATGACTCATGAAACAAATAGACCAGGACTGTGCAATGGGTGTCCTGGCAGGACTACCCCATACTACTAGTACTTGAGAATCTCCAGGAAAGGACATCCAAACAGGATACGCTAGGAAGAGAGTTGTCCAGTTCCCAAAGCCAGATGACACCAAACAAACCTTGCTTGCCACATCCACTGAGTGCCCTCCACGGGTGGCAAAACCAGCCCAGTGATAGGAACCACATCGCCAGGTGTGCCTCTTCACGTCCCGTCCCAAACTCCGGAGGCGGTCCGCCAAGTGACCATCTCCCCCCTCTTCCATTCGCTTGTCTCTCCTGTGTTTTCCCTTTCCGTCCTTATTCTTCCTTTCAAAAACCCTAACAACCGGAAACAAATGGCTGTTCCGATATGGCAGTTATATAGATCCTAACAACATACCAAGTGGCGGTTGGGGCTGGGATCGTTTCGGGAGTTCCATCAACATGTCCTTTCTGCTTGGGACTCGGTGACCCGGCCACTTGCTCTCGTTTCACTGTGCCAACCCTTATAACCCTTTGTTGGTCGGGCCAAGGCACATGGTACTGGCTCTTTGGCCTGGCGAAAAACGCAAGACCCGTCGGGATCATGAAATTCAAAGGAACTACACCAGACTCGCACAGACTTTACAGAACTACACCAGACTCGCACAGACTTCACAGCCCAGCGCCTCGAACTGGTTCAGGTGCTCCGCGTACTGCTTCGCCAGGGCGTCGTTCACGTGGAGTTGCTTCTTGATGTCCTCCCAAGCGTCGATCCAAACATGCCCAGCTGGAGTGGGGTTGCTCTATGTCATGCATGGACAAAACAGGGTCATAGCTTTGATAGCTTTGGGAACCCCAATCATGGAGTGACGCTGTTCCTCTCCTGCTAGCAGCCGGTGCCATGACGGTGCCATATGTCCCCCCTCTTTCCTGCATCCCACTGGAGCATCCCACTGAACGCTGGCCGGACAAAGATGGACAGGAGATCGTTCCAGCAGCACCCCAGAAACAGGTCTCGGACAGTGTCGGACGTTGGAACGTCCAACGTCGGTGACTCGTGACCTCTCCAAGGGTGCTGGTCATTTGAAACGGCTGATGGATCGGAAGACCGCGACCCGTTCGGGAGCGACCGCGACGCCTAGACGGTTGGGCGACCGTGTTGGTTTTCCCATCGGCGACGACTCAAGCGGCCTAGAAAGGTCGCCGCCGCCGGGGCGAGGTAGCGGGCGACGAAACACGAACGAGCAGTCTGAGGAAGCACGAAGGAGAACCTATGACAACTGGCTCATGGATGATTCCCTGCCTGCACATGTCCGGTGGGAATGTCGGAATGTCTTTTTCTGAGTGGACACCCCATACCATTCACCGTGGACAGTGTCCCCGGGAACACCGGAGCTCAGCCACCTTGGCTTCCAAACGTCGGAGCTCTTGGACTAGGACCTGGCAACCAAAAGCAGCGCTTTTGGAATGAGGCAAGGTGGGACCGGAGTGGAAGGAGCTGGGACTGGGGATCTGCTTCTGAACCCGGAGCAAGTTGCTTGTGAGTCTCCCTGACGATTGGACCACCACGTCGTCCTGGTTCTGGCCTGTTTCAAGGTGTCCAGGTGGTTTCAGGCGTCAAGTTTCTTGCATCCCCAAAGGGTCCGGACGTGATCATGTGTCCATTGGTCCATTCTCAAAGAAGCTGTGACTGGGAGGACTGCCCAAAACCTGTTAGATGCCCTCACTGTGCGAAGGTGATTGCAAAGAAGAACATGTTCATATCTTTTCCCAGACCAATCCCAGCAAATCTCAGTTACTGTACCACTTTAGAAGGCACCAGGGTTTCCAGCTGCAAGTATAATGGTAGCTGGGTCCACTGGGAATTGGAACCTTTCCAGAAACCCCCCTTTTCTCCACATCCAAGAACCACGATACCTTCTGAAGGCCCAAGGGCCAACGTTCTACCATGGGATCACATCCCTTGGACGACCAGGCCGTTGGACCAACCTCGTCTTGACGGGTTGCCAAACACAACCTCTGCGGCGCCTTGCGCGAAGCTTCTGTGTATGTCATGTGGTTTTGGGGAGAACTCCCAACTGACCAGCCCCACTGGCGGCGGTGGAAGGACAAAGACCTCTCAACTCTCGGGACTGTGGGTCGTGGTGGAGTTTTCAACTTCAAGTGAACCAGGAATTCTTGGCTTTGCTGTCAACATCTTCCCCAGAAGGGGATTCACCCTATGTTGGTAAAATAGGAATTGGTCTGCTTCTTCTATTGATGTGAGAGGCAAACTGATCATCCCTCCAACCCCTCTCCCCAGACCCACTTGGCGTCACCCGGTGGCCTTGGTCTTGTGCAGCAACCGTGGCGTCGTCCTCATGGCCAGCTCCGCCGCCGGCTTGGCATGGAACCTGGACCAAAAGAGGTTGAGAGACCATATAGGACCCTGAGATGGGCTATAGGGCTGTTCAACCTCTCTTCGGATGCCGGGCTGGGGTCCTTGGACGTCGTCTCTGCCGACGGCTCCGACCGTCCGGCTCCCGGCTCCAGTCGACTGACGGGACGGGAGAATCGAGGACAGCAGGTCTCATCATGGGAAGTCCAAGGTGTTTTGCCCCAGCCCTGGTCAGGAAGACCTCTTAGGTTGTTTGTTGGTGGGCTTTCCTTTGAGGATGAACCCTCGTTCCCACCTCATCGCCGAGGACAGCAGCACCAGCATGGCGTCGAGGTAGCGTATTCTTGGTCGCGTATTCGTTGCAGGTGGAAAAGCGGGCGCATGGTTCACACCTGACCATCTTCACGAGCCTAATCGTTCACACGTGAGGGTCAGCCAATGAGAGGGACGGATGTCGAGCATGGGTGGGTATCGTTGGGATTCGGTGGGAGCGGGATTTGTCTATATTTCTCCCCATCCAGAGCGCCACTGCTAGGTTTTTTAGGCCTTCTTCACTTGGTGTTGTTCAGCTTTGCTGGAGGTAGTGCGGCATGTTTGTTGCAAAGAAGTGTGTGTGTGTGTGTGTGTTGTGCGGGTTGATCTCTGGCCCAGTGGATACAACTGACAAGCAAACTGGGTTGACCACAGGTAACTAGGGCTCCCCTAGAACGCCTTCACTGATCTTATGCGAGACATTCAATTGCACCAGGGCGCCCATTCTGTTCAATACCCCAACACTCCCATCTATGGCATATGATCACGACCTTTGACCCCAGGCCCCTTTCCAATCAACCACCCCAACTGACTTGGTCAAATATGCCAGTCCTATGAGAACATATGGCATGTCTCCTAGGATCCCCCCTATCCTAGGGCCTAGGGCTAGGGTACCCTAGCCTAGCCCCCTTGCCTCCCTGTCTAGGGGGGTAGGCTAGGTGAAGGGAAGCCCTATCATGGGACTTCTGTGTGGCATGTCTGGGATATGATGTGAGTCTCTGAGTCCGTGAGGACCACTCATTCGACCGCAGGCTGCCCCGGGGGGTGGGTCGTGTGCACTCGATGCCTCTGTAGAAGCTGAGTGGCTGCAAGGGCCGAAGAGGGAAGACATGAGCTCAAGTCTTATCTGCTGCAGATTCGACCCCGGGGTGTGAGTTCCAGTGGTGCCCAAAGTTGATTGGTACGACAAAGCCAGTTCTCTGGACATGTTGGATCTTAACAGAAGCCCACACTTGTTACGGTTCCCTTTGTTCTTTAAACACCTATGGGTCCATGGGTAAATAGTATAATGACCCGTCGGTCACTATCAGGGTATATCATTCACTGAATGATGAGGGCTCTTAGCGGAAGGCCATGTGTGAGGTGCTGGACAAAAAAACAAATTACAATGCGATTACACTCTAAGTTGGTGGCGAAGTGACTGATCTTAACTGCCAGTATCTTTCTTCCATCACTAATCAATCCCTACAAGTCAAAGGCCTCATGTTACTGAAGTTGGTCATACAAAAACACTATTCAAGAAGGTCAAGGACCCGGTTTTACTGGGTCAAACTGGACTTGTAGGACATCATGTCAGGGCCCCTTCACCTTGTCGCTCCAAACAACTCGATCGTTCGACTCGTCAGGACTTCCCCGGTTTCCGAAGTTCGTGATCCTTCTCTTGGACCATGTCATTGACCCCTTTTCAACCATCTCAATTGATCGCTTGGCCGATGCCAGTCCCATCAATGGGGTTTTTCGAGATTCGCCCGTTGGTTTCGGCACTCTCTAGCCTTGAAGTGGTCATCAAAGGAACTTTGACTTATTTGAAGGAGCCGGATCATGAATCCTGATATAACATGATATAACCGCACCCCTTGGAAAGGACTTTGTGCTGAGTCTGAGCATGGGCGAGTCTGGCAACTACATCCAAGACCCGTATCCTTGGTAATCTTGACATGTTCACGTGAAGACTTCCGCAGGTAACCTGGAAATCCGGATCCCAACCAGAGTTCCACAAGGTCTTGACGACGTATAATAATTTTATAGAAAACAAACAATAGGACATTTGAGCCTTACAGGTGAATTTTGCCAATTTATAGAACATGAATGAACCTGATCCTTTTCCAAGTGACACCCCCGCAATCTCCAAAACACCTCGCCAAAAATGACCGATTTTTCAAAGCTACCCCCCCAAAAAAAACACCTTCCTCTCCAAACCACCTCGCGAACGGTCCAACGGTTCGCCCCACGGTTCGCCCTTCCAACCGGTGGGTTTGTCACTTCGATTCCTTCAGGGGAGTGTCATCCACCCGTCGACCGGTCATCACTCTGGCGGGGCCGCTTGTTTTCAGCTGACAGCTTTGGTCGAGCTGGTCAACCTGCGGTGAGGCGTCTAAAACAAGAACAACATGATGGGGCAGGGCGCGGGCAGGGCCCCCCCCGATGACGAATCTAACACAAAGTCAACCAAAACGGCACCCCTTTGCAAGGGTTTCCAGGTAAGAAAGGGTGGCAACATGCTGCAACTAGCTCCAAAACCAAGAGAGGACTATCGTCGGTATGGTTTCCGGCATGGCGACCTTGAGCGTTCCCCGACATGTTTAATTTGTGGCAGAATCTTCAAGAACAGTCATTGATCATTGGCTCATTGGTTGAACATTATAATCGTATATATATATAATCGTTATATATAATTACATGCATCTTACATATTCAGCATATTCATATATGGGTCGAGTGTGTATTAGATTAGAATAGGGAGACCTCCTAAAGACACCTTGGAAGAAGGGAAATAGACCAAAACCATCCAAAACCACGACCAAAAGCCATGGGGCCAGGGGGTCTCCCTATTCATGTGCGTTTATATATACAGGGATGAAGAGCGGTTCAATGCGTCTTTACTTCAAACACTCCGCTTGGAGCCCTAGGGAGACCGACGGTCGCATCCGCTGTCATCCGCTGGAACAGCCCCAGGTCCGATGTGACGCAACCTGCCTGCTGGACAAAATTTCAAACATCACGAACGTTCGGTACTTCAATCAAAAACACACCATCCGGAATCAATCACACCCGCCTTGCCGCTGCGGCTCCTCCAATTCATGTTCTTACCAGGGTCATCCTGTCTGGGTGTCCAATAGACTACCCTGCCTTACGTAAACAGGCCTCCAGACAGGACACCCAAACAGGAAGTGCTAGGTACTATAGGTACTAGGTACATCTAATATATTCTCAAGTCTAGTGAGGACCTCCAAGTCCTCAAGTGTTCAGGACACGACTCCCAAGGCAAACTCCCAACCCTCCCCCCCCGGTCCCTCTCCTTGGCCCATGGAGCGCCCCGCCGCACAGCGCCGCGCTGCCACACACGTGCGCGGCGCCCTCCGGTGGCACGCCCAGGCAAAAGGCCTCGCATATGGCGCCACAATGGGCGGTGAGGACTTAGGAAGGGAACGGAACGGGGAGGCCGGGCTAGGAGCAAGGACGCTACTAGGGGCTCCTGGCCTTACTACTAGTAACAAGATGTAACTAGGAACAAAGGGCATCGCTTCTTGGGAGCGATCGGACGCTACTAGGAGCTGATTTCCATGGGTCTACTTGGGATTTTTGGAGCCAGTCACCCAGTCGTACCTTCTCAGGTACGTAATTACGGTGAGGACGGAGACGATGTGATGTAGGCCGGGAGGGCCCTCCCGTCGTACCTTCTCCTGAGAAGGTATGTGGATCCCTAGGGGTTGAACCAAAACCACCAAGCACACCCGGACAATATCCGGAAAACGCTGGGGACTCTATATATGCTTTGAACAGCCCACCTACTCCAAGCCACACACTCTGGGACCTTTCGGCCTTCCGCACTTCATGAGAAAGCCAAGCCAAACACTAACCCCGGCCGCTCCGAGAAGACATCGTCAAACAACATACACCACCAACGAAGACTGCTGTCTGACCTGACCCATCTTGGATGGTATACAAGCCATCCCCCGGCGGAAAACTACCGGTACCCCGCGGCGAAAGCACCGTCCTCGACGGTCCGCCGTCCTCGACGGTCCGCCTCCGCCAGGTCCGCCACCCGTAGCACATTGACCTCTCCGCACACGCTTCCATCGCCGCGGTTCGGCACTTGCAGGGGCCTGGCGAGGCAAGGAGGTCACCAAAACTGGAGGTCCAGGAAAGACCTGGTCTTTCAAATCTGGCCGGAAAAAAGAGGAATTTAGCCGAAGCCCGAAGCCTAAAAAAGGAATTTAAACCGCTTCTTTTAGCCGAACAAAAAAAAGCCTGAACACTTTCAGTCGACTTGTTGATCTTGTTGCAGGCGCGAACAACTTCGATCTATTTGATGCGACCGGACTGGACACTCTGGACTCGGGAGAAAGACCAGTCTACCCAGCCAGCGAGAAAGGGGGATCTCCATAGTAGAAATACACACCCATACCAGCACCCTCCAACAGGCTGTTTGAAGACTCTAACAGGTGGTTGCTGGGCATTTGTTGTCACCAGGAAACACCTGGCCAGGAGGGTCCAGGTATACACATCATCACACATCTCAGAACTCTGAGTCACTCTGAGATCATCATTTCAGTCCCTCATCAAAGCATCCTATATCTAGGCATGTATAGGCCTATAGCCGCTCTGGCTCTGGACCACTTGGACCAAAACGGATCCGACGGTCTCCCTCGTTGGTCTCCCTCGTCTCGGTGGATCCCTCGCCTCTGGAGAGTCCGTACGGGTAGCTTTGGATGAGTGCAAAGCTCCTGACGCTCCGTCCGACGGTCGGTCGTCCACCGGTGGTGGGGTCCCTTGGGCTGGGCACATGAAAGAGGTGCTAAGAGAGAGAGAGAGAGAGAGACCATTGTTGGTGGTTGTATATATGTTCATTGGTTGTTGTTGTTTCTTGTTGCTGTCTTTTTGCTGGTTGTTGTTCAATTGCTAATGACACCCTAGGCCCTGATTGAACAAGACATAACAAAACCTGTAGAAGTGTGGTCAGTGAAAACATGCCCCTGCAGCTTCCAATCTATGGGACAATCACTGGGTGCCCAGGTCAGGGGGGGGGGGTGGGTGGGTGGGGGGGTTGGTCGCCCACCACGTGGACTTTGGGACGAACACATCGGGTTTTCCAACCCAAGAAGTCAGGGTCAGTGCTCGATCCTTCCATGCTGGACTGCAGTAGGGCCAAGTCTTCTGTTGACTGGGTGAGGCAAAATGGTAGCGACCCCCACTACGCAAGCATGACCTAGGTGCCAAGGAAGGATCCAAAAACGAGTGATGAACACTGATGAACAGGATGGTCAGGCGGATGAGCACTTCCCAGTCCAAGACGCCAACCAAAAAATCTTCTGGAACTGAGGGGGGCCACTAAGTCACCATGCTCTACCAGCCTCGTCCC